GGTCGGGGGTTGCTATCTTTGATCTTGATTATGATGCTATTCTTGCTGCCATGTATGTTGTGTCTACTAGTGATGAGGGTGACTGTTACATGTGTGTTCCACCTGACCCGGGCATTGAGGCTGCTGCTCTAGGTGCTGGTGAGGCTGCTGCTCTAGGTGCTCGTGCGTCTGCTCCTCCAGGTGCTGGTGAGTCTGCTGCCCCAGGTGCTGGTGAGTCTGCTCTCTCAGGTACCACGTCGGCTCAGGCTTTGCACACTTTCACCCTTGACTCGGGTGCTTCCCTCTCCTTCTTTCGAGACCGCACCACACTCACGCCGCTTAGTCGGCCGGTTGCAGTCTCGCTGGCAGACCCCTCTGGGGGTCCTGTCCTTGCCCACTTCTCCACTGTCTTACCGTGTCCGGCGGCCCCTTCTGGCACCCTGTCAGGTCTTTACCTCCCCTCGTTCTCTACGAACCTGGTGAGTGGTGCTGACATACAAGACGAGGGGGTTGACCAGTTCACTCCTGCGAGTCAGCAAGTGACCCACTGTATGTGTGCTCGGACGGGCCGAAACTTGGCCATGTTTACCCGTCAGCCGGGGTCGAGCCTGTACACAGTGACTACCGAGTCTCCTCCGGCTGCTGAGGCTGGTCAGGTAGCTGCGTCGGGTCAGGTGTTTGCTGCAGCGTCCAGGTCTGGTCCTGAGTCTGCCCCGTGCTCGTGTCGTCTCCTGTCTCACCAGACTCTCCTCTGGCACCACCGCCTTGGTCACCCCTCCCTGCCTCGTCTCCGAGGCATGGCCTCTCGTTTCCTTGTCTCTGGTCTCCCCCGGTCCCTCCCTCCTCTTCCTCCGGGGCCTGCCCCTACCTGCGTTCCATGCGTCGAGGGGCGGCAGCGCGCCGCTCCTCACTCCTCCGAGTTTCCTCCGACAGAGGCTCCACTGCAGACGCTTCACCTGGACGTGTGGGGCCCCGCCCGCGTCCGTGGAGAGGGTCACGAGCGTTACTTCCTGCTGGTGGTTGACGACTACTCGCGTTACACCACAGTCTTCCCCTTGCGCAGCAAGGGTGAGGTCACTGAGGTGTTGATCGACTGGATCCGCGCAGCTCCTCTCCAGCTCAGAGAGAGTTTCGGCTCGGACTTTCCTGTTCTGCGTCTGCACTCCGACAGAGGCGGCGACTTTTCCTCTGACCTTCTGCGGGCCTTCTGTCGTGCACAGGGCATCCGCCAGACGTTCACGCTTCCGGTCTCTCCACAGCAAAATGGGATTGCTGAGCGCCGCATTGGCATGGTCATGGACGTCGCTCGTACGTCCATGATCCATGCGGCTGCTCCCCATTTTCTGTGGTCGTTCGCGGTTTAGTACGCGGCGCATCAGATCAACCTTCAGCCCCGGGTCTCCTTGCCGGAGACCTCCCCTACTCTGCGGTGGACGGGGTAGGTTGGCGATGCGTCTGCGTTCCGTGTCTGGGGATCTCGAGCTTTTGTCCGCGACTTGTCTTCGGACAAGCTGTCCCCCCGCGGTGTTCCCTGCGTCTTCCTTGGCTTCCCCCCTGACGCGCCTGGTTGGCAATTTTACCACCCCACCTCGCGCCGTGTTCTGTCCTCCCAGGACGTCACATTTGACGAGTTGGTTCCTTACTACCGTCTCTTCCCCTACCGCACTGCCCCCCTCCCCCCGCCGCCGCTCTTCCTCGCGCCAGGTCCTTCTCCGGTAGACCCCCTTCCCCCTCAGGGTCCTGCCCCCTCAGGTGTGTCCCAGGTAGACGCAGTCGAGCCTGTCGAGGTAGCTGTTGACTCTGGTGCTGCTGGGGGTGCTGAGCCTGCGGGTGCGGAGTCTGGGGGTGCTGAGCCTGGGGGTGCTGCGTCTGGGGGTGCTGAGCCTGGGGGTGCTGAGCCTGGGGGTGCTGCGACTGGGGGTGCGGAGCCTGAGGGTGCTGGGCCTGCTCGTGTGGAGTCTGGCGGTGCTGGGTCTGGAGGTCCTTCGGGTGGTTCATCCCGGCGGGAGCTACCCTCTCCACAGGAGCTACGTGAGTGGTTTGCTCAGCGCTGGAGTCGTGATGCTGGAGCTAGAGGTGCCGCTGGGGCTAGAGGTTCTACTGCTGCTGAGGGTGCTGACGTCACGGGTCCCGGAGGTGCTCGTACTGGAGGTACTGGAGCTGCTCGGCCTGGGGGTGCTCCTGGTGCAGGAGCTGCTGGCGGTGTTGGAGCTGGCGGTGCTGCTGGAGTAGGTGCTGCTGGAGGTGCTGTAGCTGGGGCTGTTGAGTCTTCCGGTGGTCCTGCTGGAGCTGGAGCTGCTGGAGGTGCTGGAGCTGGAGGTGCTGCTGGTGCCAGTGCTCTTGTTGGTGCTGGAGTTGCTGCTCCTGGAGCTGGTGGAGCTGCTGGAGTCGAAGCCGACCCTGGGGGTGCTGGTACTGTCCCTGCTAGTTGTGGAGGTGCTGCGCGGCCACGGCCATACTTCGTTCTGCTCCTTTAGCAGGTTCTTGGTCTTCCGCCCTCTACTGGTCCTGCTCCTTCCTTAGAGTGTCCACTGCCTGTCCAGTCCGAGTCACAGTTACAGCCCGCCTCCCCACTGCCTGCTCCTTCTCCCTACACTGGTCCTACTGGAGGTCTTGCTGAGCGTCGTGAGCCTGCGTCTTGTCCTGCGTCGCCTGTTCGTGCTGCTCGCACTAGTCGTCGTGTTCCGCGTCAGCGTCCTCCTGCGGTTTCGGGCACGCACCAGATGGCACTGCGTCCTTCCACTGCTCCACTGCGTGTCCCTTTGCCGTCTCCTCCAGAGTCCTCTCTTCCTGCTCTTGCTGACCCGGAGTCTAACTCTCTTCGTGCTGCCAGTCCTACTGTCACGCGTATCCTCGCTACTGCTGTCACTGACCCTTCCTTTGAGTCCACTGCTGCGTCTGCCTTAGTTGCTGAGCTTGTCGACTTCGCTGCTCGCTGTCGTCTAGACTACGCTGCTAGTCTTGTTGCTGAGTCTGAGTCTGTCTGTCCTCCGTCCGTCGAGGGTGAGTGTGCTCTTACCACGGTCGTCCTTGAGGACAGGCAGGAGGAGTTCCAGTGTTTTGCTGCTGCTTTGCCTCATCTTGTGTCCATGCTGATTGCCCCCGAGGGAGACCCGGATGCACCAGACATCCCGACTCCGCGCTCTTACGCAGAGGCGATAGAGAGTCCCTACTCCTCTCAGTGGCAGTCAGCCATGGACGCAGAGATGGCTTCCTGGAAATCCACAGGCACCTACGTCGACGAGGTTCCCCCACCTGGGGCGAACATCGTCAGCAGCATGTGGATTTTCAGGGTGAAGCGGCCGCCGGGTTCTCCGCCTGTCTTCAAGGCACGGTACGTGGCTCGAGGCTTCAGTCAGCGGCAGGGAGTTGACTACTTTCAGACCTTCTCTCCCACCCCGAAGATGACCACTCTTCGGGTGCTGCTGCATATAGCCGCTCAGTGCGACTACGAGCTTCACTCTCTTGACTTCAGCACTGCTTTCCTACAGGGCAGCCTGCACGAGGAGATCTGGCTGCGCCGCCCACCTGGCTTCACTGGGTCGTTTCCTCCTGGTACCTAGTGGAGCCTCCGGCGGCTAGTCTACGGTCTCGGCCAGGCGCCCCGTGAGTGGCACGACACACTGAGGACTACACTTGCGGCTCTTGGGTTTGCTCCTTCTACTGCCGACCCGTCGCTGTTTCTACGCACCAACACTTCTTTGCCACCGTTCTACATCCTCGTGTACGTCGACGACTTGGTCTTTGCTACTGCTGACAGTGCTGGACTCGCCCACGTGAAGTCCGAGCTGCAGAAGAGACACACGTGCACAGACCTGGGTGAACTGCGCAGCTACCTTGGCTTGCAGATCACCCGGGACAGAGCACGGCGCACCATTACTCTGACTCAGTCACACATGGTGCAGCAGGTCCTTCAGCGCTTCGACTTCACGTACTCCTTGCCTCAGGCCACTCCTCTGTCTACTCGCCACTCGCTCTCAGCTCTGCCTTCGGATGAGTCCGTAGAGCCGAGTGGCCCGTACCCAGAGCTTGTTGGCTGCCTCATGTACCTGATGACCTGCACTCGACCTGACCTTGCATACCCTCTTAGCATCTTGGCACGCTATGTTGCTCCTGGGAGACACCGACCAGAGCACATGGCTGCAGCGAAGAGGGTGTTGCGCTACTTGTGCAGTACGTCGGGCATGGGGCTCGTGCTTGGAGGGCGGAGTCCAGTGGTCCTCATTGGTCACGCAGACGCCTCTTGGGCTGACGACCAGGCTACGCAGCGGTCGTCACAGGGTTACACCTTCAGCCTTGGTTCCGGCTCTGTTTCGTGGCGGTCTACCTGCTCGTCTTCTGTTCTCGGCTCCAGCTGTGAGGCTGAGATCTACGAAGGGGCCATGGCTGCACAGGAGTTACGCTGGCTCACCTACCTGCTGACTGACCTAGGAGAGCCGCCTCGTTCTCCTCCAATTCTGTACGTAGACAACAAGGCCATGCTGGCCTTGTGTCGGGAGCACAGACTGGAGCACAGAACGAAGCACATTGCTCTTCGCTACTTCCTTGCTCGTGAGCTGCAGCAGCGTGGTCAGCTGCGACTTGCTTACATGGCCTCTCGGGCCAACACTGCTGATATCTTTACCAAGGCACTTCAGCCTTGTGATCATCAGCGCTTTTGTACGATGCTAGGTCTTGTGCCTACTTGGCCTCACTTGCTCAATTCTTGACCTTGCTTGTACTGTGATCTATCTATACCTGCACTTGCTTGTTTACCTTTATATATAATCCTGCATGTGAACTGGCCTTGTGGCCTTGAACTGGTGCTCGGAATGTGTGGTGACATTGTGATCCACCCTGAGCTTGCTTTGCTTGACTGGTCTTGCGACCCCTAGTTCTCCCCCACTTTGCCTATGGGGGTGTGTCGGATATATATGACATAGTGTTTGTAGGCTCTAGTGGGGTAGACACTAAGGGGTACAGGTTTCTAGGGTTTCATATTTGTATCACACACTTTCCTAGTTCAATCATTCCTCGTTATTTCACAGATCCAACACACGGTGGAACGCCAGCCCATCGCGGAAAGCCGCCCGACCCCGCTTCAGCAAGAGCGCCGAAACCAGGTTCTTCTTAATCATGGTCGGTGAGATCACGGCCGGGACCCCCCTGAAAAGCACCTCGATCACCTCTGGGTGAGCAACACACTCCTTCAGGTACTCCTTGTTCTCTGTATGCTGCCAGCCAAAGGTGAGCTTCTTGTTGCTCGTGGTGTAATGCTCGATCTCTCGGCTTCTCATGAAGTTTGCGTCAGCATCCAGTAGGAAAACCACTTCGATCCAGCCGAAATGCTGCTTGGAGAGAAATGTCACCGTAAGTTGCTGACACCTCGTGGTCATCTTCACATTCTCCGACATGTGCTTTCCCCACAGCAGCAGCAGGTGATTAATGGTGTTGATGATGCGCGCGATCTCCTTATGCCAGGCGAAAGGAACCAGCAGCGTGATGGTGACACCCGCCTGCGCAGCAATCTCGTTGAGCTTCACCGGATCCTGGCACTCATCAGGGTCGTCGCTTAGGTAACCTCCGTCATCCGCTGCATCTTGGTCCTTTTTCATCCCCTGATCCAGCCCGCTCGGAGCGAAGGTATCACTGCCTATCGATTTTTCCTTGTCATTGACATTCGTAACCTTGTCGGCTGGCGGGTCATTGATGTGCAGCGCCGACGTACGCGCCGTCAAATCCGTGATCTCCTTTTCACCATGAGGAGCTGTCACACCATTAAACAAGGTCTTCGGCGTGACAGGCTCGAAATGCGCATCCGCCAGCTTCTTCCCATGGAGACCAGCAGCAGGAGCGACCATAGCAGGAGACCCTTTAAGTGGGGGCCATGGTGTGATGATAAACTGAGGAAGGAAGCAGATCTGCAGAAGCAGGTCGCGAAATAGAGCTGAGCACCGAAGGCTCCAGACCTAACTTGTGTCTTTCACGCCACCAATGCTTGAAAATATAGTGAATGAAAGCTTGAGAAAGCGCTCCGAGAAGGTTGTTGACAGTTTTGGGCTTGCCATTGTCCTTAGTAACTTCAAAAGCCCTGGAAACTCCATTCTCAAAGAGAGCCTCAAGAGTGCCTGACAAAAGGGCCGTATGGTCAATGTTCGCTGTATGAACATTAAAAGTGTACCAACGGATTCCTAACGTCTTAAGGAGTACGAATCTAGGCTCTAATTCAACAACTGGCAAGAAATCGAGGGACATTGAGTTTGTCAAAGTTCCTGGGAACCGCCATGGCGGTCTTGAGGCTGTCATGGTTGTTGGTTGTTGGTCCTTGGTTGGGTGGATGAGTGTGGTCCAACTGGCATCAGCAGCTCCCTCACTGTGAACGGCCGGCAGCTTCTCCCGTACATCCGACCAAGACGTTGGCGTTGCCCAAGCAAGAGCGGGGCCAACACTCCATTCCCGTTAACACTTGGAGCGGCAACAACTACAACTGCTCGAGGTGATCTGCAAAGGACGATGCCTTCAGGCGATGGTAGATAGTGGTGCGTCCCACTCGGTGTGCGACCGCGGGACATTGGAGAAAATTGGTGAGTCCTTGGAGGAGACCCAGTTCACGGCAACGATGGTGGACGGTACGAATCTTCCCATCCATGGCGAAGCATCACTGCAGCTACACATTGTTGCGATGAGGTGGAAGCCGACGTTGTTGATCACGAACATTAAGGGACTAGATTTCATCGTGGGGCGAGATTTCTTGAAGCGGTTCAACCTCGAGATTTACTGGGACAACCGGAAGGCGTGCATCTACAAGAACGGGAAACGTGTGTAGATGCAAAGCTGGATGGATACAAGGGAAGTTCCTGAAACGGCACATGCACGGTTGAAACGGATGGTGAACGAGAGTAACACGGGTTTCTTAGCACTGGTTATGGAAGCAATAGAGGAGGAAGCCGAACTTGGAGCTACCTCCAGTAGTACAGGAGGTGTTGGAGCAGTACAAAGATATCATGCGAGACAACCTACCTGCAGGAGTACCTCCAGCACGAACCCACGAGCACAAGATCGTGGAGGAACCAAGTGCCAAACCCGTATCACATGCACCACACCGCCTTAGTCCGGCCAGACTGACAGACATAAAGAAGCAGATAGAGTATCTACCGAACAAACAACTGATCCGCCCATCCACCTCTCCCTACGGTGCACGCGTTCTCTTCACTCCAAAACCGGACGGTAGTTTACGGATGTGCATCAACTACCGGGCATTGAACAAACAAACAGTCAAGAACAAATACCCCACACCGCACACAAATGATCTTCTAGACCAACTGCGTGGAGCAACGGTGTTTTTGAAGCTAGACCTACGGTTGGGTTACTGGCAGATCAAGATGGCAGACAACTCGATACACAAGATGTCTTGTACCAAATACGACTCCTACAAATACTTACAGCGCACCAGCGTCGTTCCAGGCAGAGATGAATCACATCCTACGGCCCCTGCTGGACGAATGCGTGGTGGTGTACTTGGACGACATTCTCATCTACTCCAAGAACACGAAGGAGCACGAGGAGCATCTGCGGAAAGTCTTTGGGATTCTACGGGAGAATAAGTTCTACATGAAGCTGTCAAAGAGTGACTTCGCCCAAAAAAAGGTGCAATTTCTCGAGCACATGTTGAGTGCCGAGGGCGTACACGTGGACCCACGGAAAATCGAAGTCGTCAAGAAGTGGAAAGTACCGGAGAACGTGAAGGAGTTGCAGCAGTTCCCAAGCTTTGCCAACTACTACAACAGGTTCGTGCCACAGTACGCTAAGATAGCAACGCTAGTGACGAACTTACTGAAAAAGGATACGCCCTATAAATAGGATACTCCTCATCATCAAGCCATGGAGCAGCTACTGACACCACTGACTACAGCACCAGTACTCATCTTACCGGATCCAGACAGAGATTACATTGTGGAAGCATACGCTAATGACCAGGCAGTCGGAGCAGCATTGATGCAGGATCACGGATGTGGTTTGTAGCTCATCACCTACCTTAGTAAGAAGCTACACAGAGCTGAACAAAACTACCCAATCCATGACAAGGAAGCATGAGCGATAGTCACAACCTTCAAAGTGTGGAGGAGTTACCTACAGGGAGCCAAGATTACAGTCTACACTGACCACTGCAGTCTTAAATACCTGAAGTCAGAGCCTACTCTCTCACGATGACAGCTGCGGTGGGTGGACTTCCTTGAGACTCACTTCCATTACGACATCGCCTACAAGCACGGGCTACACAACAAAGCACACGCGTTGAGCCGCTCCGGTCATGTAGCAGGCGTCCAGCTCGATGGGATGAACCCTCTGCTTAAGGGTCTATTCCAACATGGGTACTCCGTGGACACAGAGATCTCTACAGCACAGAAACAGAAGATGTTACAGAGGGAGAAATACTTGGTTATATAAAAGGATTCAAGGAATTTTTGGGAGCAACAAGACATTAGCAGAGATAGCAAAGTAAAACTACTGGCCCCGGATGGCAACAGACGTGTAGCAGTTCGTCACCTCATGCGACACGTGCTAGTGGATGAAGAGTAGCAATCAGGAAAAAGCAAGGTTACTTCAAACTCTACCCGTACCGGAGCAGCCATGACAAGTCATCAGCCTAGACTTCATCACTTAGCTTCCTTCAACCTCACGAGGGCATGACGCTATAGTCATGGTGATCGACAAGTTCTTTAAAATGGGACATTTCATCCCGACCAATGCCACGGCTACAGCTGAAGCAGCTGCTTGCCTCTTCTTTAACTGCGTCATCACCATCTACGGCATCCCCGCTACACTCATCTCAAATAGAGACCCAGAATTCACTAGTAAGTTCCGGAGGGAACTCATGGGATTGTTGGGGACAAAACTTGCAATGTCTTCAGCGTACCACCCCCTGACTGGCGGACAGACTGCGCGATTGAATCAAGTGTTTGAACAGTTACTGCGCACAGCTCGTAAAGATGACGTCAGCCACTGGGATCTGCAGTTAGCGACCCTAGAGTTCGCTTACAACAACGCGGCACATGCGGCCACAGGGAAATCTCCTTTCTTTTTGTGCTACAGACGGGAACCAGTTACACTGTCAAGCTATATTTGTTATAGCTTATATTTGTTAGTCTAGGTGTACATCCTTGACCTAGGGTTAGGTTAGGGTTCACCGGAGATATCTTGCCATATGTTTTATTCCATATTGAATTTTTACATTGTGACATGGTGTAGAGCTAGGTTAACCCTAGCAAGATTTTCCCCTTAGGAAATATCTCTCGACTAAGTTATGGGCCCACCTAGTCGCGCCCCGTCCTAGACCGCCCGTAGCGTGCTTACCTTAGGCCCCGTCGCCCGTAGACACCCCCCCCCCCCCCCCGCCGTCGCCCGTCGCCCGTTTCCCCCCGTCAATCGCTGCCTGTTTCATTTTTTTTTTTTCCCGTCGCCCGTCACCCGTCGTGGCTGCTAGTTAACGGGCCCCGCGACCTCTCGTTAGCGGGCCTTGCGGACTTTCGTTCGTGGGCCCCAAGGCCCCTTCGTTGCCCCGCGGCCCCGTCATTAGTCGCACGCACGCACAGCAGCAGCCGCGCACACGAGCGACCCGTCGCTTCACCCGTTCCCCACCATCGTAACCGCTGCCCCACCCGTTAGACGCGGCCCCACCCGCTGCCTTACCCGCCACCCAGTCTGTTAGCCGTCGCCTCACCTGCCATCTGCCGCCCCACGAGCAGAAAACCACCGCCACACCGGAAATCCGCCGCCCCAGAAACTGAAGCCTGCTGCCTTAACCGCCCCCAGAACTGAAACCCGTCGCCCCACTTGGAAATAGTCACCCCAGGCCTAAAAACCTCCGCCCTACATGGTAACAGCCGCGCCAGACCTGGACCCGCCGCCCCATACCTGCTAAACCGTCCTAGCAGTGCTAGCAGCCGCTAGAAACATGCTAGCAGCGCAAGCAACCGCTAGAACGGTACTAGCAGTGCTTACAGCTGCTAGAAATGCGCCAGTAGCCCCACCTGTACAGCAGCCCCACCTGTCCAGCAGCCCCACCTGTCCAGCAACAGCTTAGACTGCCCCAGCAGAACCAGCAGCAGCATAGGCTGCCCCCAGCGCACCAGCAGTAGCTTAGGCTGGCCCCAACAGAACTAGCAGCAGCTTAGGCTGCCCCCTGCAGAATCAGCAGCAGCATAGGCTGCCCCCAGCAGAACCAGCAGCAACACAGGCTGTCCCTAGCGCACCAGCAGCAGCTTAGGCTACTCTTAGCGCACCCCCCCCCCCCCCCCCCCCCCCCCCCATTTCTAGCTACTCACATAGCATGTACTAGAGCTCTACAGCGGCAGGGCTAGCCGCAGCACTCCCGGCAGTGGGGACCTGCGGGTCCAAACTGTGGAGCCCCCAGCAGTGGCTCAGATAGCAGTGGGCAAGACGTCGGCCCCTGCGGGTACCGGGCTCTGACAAACCCTGGTGCTGGCACTACCTACTGAAGTCCTGACCACTCTGCATCGAGCTGCTACCGTCGACTCGACGACCTCCACCGTGAACGTTTTGGTCCTCACGCTATTACACCGCACTGGCCCTCGCGACTTCACCAGCGCACTGCTGCACAAGTTGAGTCTCACCTACCTAGTCCAGGACCTTTCCCGGCTGCACGAGTAGAGACATGTGTTTTCAGTCTTGGTGCGTGTGTTGTTTCCAGTCCAGGCGCCTCTGAGGGTCTTTGTGTAGGAGCTGCAGCCACCACTAGTCTAGCACCAGCCTTTGTAGCTGGCTCGGGTGCGACCTCACAGAATGCACAGCTTTCCTTCACCCCTAGACTCTGGAGCGTCCAGCTGTTTCTTTCGCGACTGTATTGACCTCACACCACTGCGCACTCCAGTCACTGTCGCCTTGGCTGACCCCTCTGTGGTACCTGTAGTTGCCCACAGCACCACCACTCTCCTATGTCCGGCGGCTCCCTCTGGGTTCCTCACAGATTACTACACCCCCTCGTTCTCTAGGAATCTGGTGGGTGTCAGTCACCTCCACGACCTAGGTGTAGTCACTACTTTCCTAGTGGACAAGCCTGTTGCCTATTGCATAGTCGGTACCACTTGGGCCCCTCAGGCCACATTTCATAGGGAGCCGGGCTCTGGTCTGTACTCACTACACACTGGGTCCCACCACACCTCTGGGTCACTTTCAGCCTTGGCTCCGGCTCTGTTTCTTGGCGGTCTACCCGCTCGTCATCGGTTCTCAGTTCCAGTTGTGAGGCTGAGATCTACGCAGGGGCCA